TGCCACAGCCTAGGTGTTGCTTTACAGGGGGAAGCTACTGTGTTATTACTGAAATACTCTCCTTTACTGAATAGAGAATGGTCGAATTCCTCAAATTCAAGATACTGTCTTTTGACTTGTGGTTTATTTTTTAAATCTGAGCAAAAATTAAATATCCTTATTCTGTCTTGTAAAAGGTTACATCCATATTTTGGGAGGCCAGATTTAAAGAGCAGTACACTTTGGATGAAAATCCCAGTGACAACTGGCCAAGTTTGATGTTAGGGTCTAGAAAATCAAAATGACAAATAAAAGTCAAAGCCAGCTGCCCTAAACAATAGGCTTGCCAATATATTTTGGATCTATAGGCCAAAAATTTGACTGTTCCAAACCTCTTCCTTTCACTGTAAATGGTTTTGGGGTTAGTGATGCAATGTGTACTTGTCTGCTCTTTAAGATAGATTTGCATTTCTTATTTGATAAATATTTTCTGCTGAACTTCTGCAAAGGCCAGGACAAATTTTTCTGATACATGTGTCCATGTATTCCATGATGGATAAAACCCCCTCTTTAAAGTGCTAAGAAGTTCCCATGAAAACTACTGTCTCAACTCTTATAGTCATTCACATGTCAGGAAATACCAGTTACAGTAGCTCATACACTAATGGTTAATTCCTATTTCCACCTAGAATGCTGAAGCCTGTTCCAGCCACACAATTTCTACCACATTCCTGTGTCACATCCACAATCAGTGGTATCTGTTTTATTGTCAAGACTTTACATCCTCTCAAATGGCATTTATGAAGGAAACTTCTCGAAGATGTCACCACAGTCATTCCAAAGTAAAGTTTGAACTGTAAATATCAGTCTTCCCATAACCATACCAAGAGAAGCACAACTCCAAGTGTGTTTCTTAGTTTCCTAGAAACTCTTACTTGCCGTTCATCTCTCTAGCACCCTGTGGCACAGACACAAATTTGAAGCTCATTTCTAAAGCAGAATCTGTTGAGAGCTCTCAAAACACTTAATTAGATTCATTTATTAAACTAGAAGAACAGAAATGGGTGTTTATCGTAATTAAACACTGTACCATCTAAACTGCCTGAGTAGTTCTGAATGTGGCAATTTAGGCATTAAAATGGGAGGATGAAAAGGTAGTATTTGTCAATTCACACTCTGAACAGTCACAAATCTATTCGTGTCACTAATCACACATTACCGTTTCACCCTAAAGCTAAACCTCCCTTAAACAGTCGAAACCAGATATAAACCAAGCAGGTACTGTGCTGCTAAAACAAACACCCTCCACCCCCAAACATGTAAGAGTTTCTATACAGCAGTACGCTAGATGTTCAGGCTCCCCAGCTGCAGCGGTCACGCAGCCTCGCAGGCAGCAGCCCTGAGGCAGGGCACCACTCAGGAGGCAGAAGCAGGGGCTCATGAAGGAGTTGCCATGGCTGGTGATGCACTTTTGCAAAACATCACAAAACCCATCAGTCTGGGATTTTCCTTCCCAAGGGAGCACCTGACTTCTACCCACAGCTGCAGACCTCTGAGGTACATGTTGCCACCCCAGCACTGGTGGCTCCTCACTCCCACTCCTCCCCACAGTGAAGCACTGCGCAGGGGCATACCCGTAACACTTGGGGTAGGGACAGACCTATAAAACCAGACCCATCATCATTTTTATTTCCCAACTGGATGCCTAAACTGGCTCCTCAAGGCCAGGCAAGCACCAGCCTCCTGCAGACATGAGGGCCATAGAAGAGAGGGCTGTAGGAGTGCATCCACAGCCCGACTTTGCACAGATGGGCTAAACCATGTATTTAAAGCCTCTGTGAACACATCTGTTACTGAGGGGATGAGAAATACATTCAAAATTAATATGCAAAATGAATACCAGGGTTGCTAAAAGATCAACTCAAATGCAATGGTGCAAGCAGAGGACAGCTTTCCTTGGCACTCCATGCTCTTACTGTAAATGGCTGATTTCACCATTTCCTCTGTACTGCCACTTTTCCTTTCTCATTTGAACTTAACAAACACAGGAAAACAGTTATGAAGTCCCAGGAATTACCAGGGGATAAGAGGGAGTGCAGTAGTCTAAAAAGACTAAGCTTGCTTTTGTGATTTGCCCGGTTTGACACATGGTTCTTACACCGCCCGTGCACATATGGCTGTCTAAACACAAAAACTCAGTACAGCATGGTGCTCTTATCAGCCACATGCCATTCACTGCCACCAGGTATTCTGGATGCCAAGACGACTTTCATCTGGCATTAACCAGTGTTGCAGTAGCGCCTGCAATGTGGTAACCAGGTTTTTAAGATTTTTAAATTCAGAAGAAATTTTAATTTCTAAATTTTTTAGATTCATTCGTGGTAAAGGTAGTTAAGCACAGAAACCACCTGGACAAAGCCTGACAGCTTGACTGTGAAGGTATTATCAGAGGCAGTTGTTAATATTGACAGCTCCAAGATAATGCTTGTAACAAACAGGTTTGAGCATGGGCAGAGTTTTGTGAGAGATTCCTGCTCGGCTAGAAAAAGCACAGCAGCATTGCTTAATCTCCTTTAACCCTTCAACAGCAGCTTCTCAACTTCACTTCAGATGGGCTGGCCACATTCTTGACACAAGTCTCTGCCAGCAAGCGCTGATTTCGTTCACAGCTATATCCCATTTCAAATGAGGTTGTAAGAAGCAACTTTAAATTTGTGCAGTTGGGATGCACTGGGACATCTCAGGGAAAAAAGGAAAGCAAACCCAAATAAAAACCCAACAGCTGAATCGCCTCCCAGTAACTAGAGCTTTGAAGGGAAAGCAGGAGAGGCTGGGGCAGGTCTTACCAAGAAGTTTGGGCTGCGCTGCACAGCCTCGAAGTGACCTGACAGTTCACTCCGGCTCTTCTCTCCATTTGGCCAGGCAGCCTGTCCTTGACCCCATCTCACCCTCAAACTGGCTCTGACCACATATTAGGACAGCCCATGTCAATAATCTACTAAGGAAATTCTCTTGCTCTGTGGAGCCCAGAGCAGGACCTCCCCCTGGTTACAGCAAGCAAGCTGTTTCACCAGCTTACACTGCATTATGTCAGTTCATGCTTGCTCTACTGGGAGAAATGGAAGCACAGTTCTGTTCTTGATGTAATCAGCTAAGCATGATTTTATTGTATTTTTAATCAGAAAAGCTGAAGCTACTTTCAGTTGGCTCTGCAGTAGTTATGAGCCCCTGCCTTATGAGCTAAAACCTAACTCCAAGTTTCTCCCTGAGTTTACCCAAAGAGTTTGAAAACACTGAAGGGGTCCCCAAGAGATACTCCAGAAAAATAAATGTGTGGCCAGTTGAGATTAAGTTAGCTATACCAGACTCCACACATCACCATAAAGGAAAAAATCCCAACAAACAAAACGATAACAAGTCACAAAACCGACTCTTCAATGTTCCCTGAGACACTGAAATCCTACAGGATGTTCCCCCCAGCTAACTAACGGATTCTGAGTATTCGTTGTACCACCATGGCAGAAGAGTCCTTCTCAGCCCTCTAGTAAGTACACAACAAGACAGTGACTCTTTAGCAAGTGTTGTCTTACTCTGGGAAGGGAGAGAAATCCTTAATACCAATAACTGGTATAAAAGTACATCAATGTGTCATATTTAGCTTCATTTGCTTAGACTTAATTCTAAGCTTCATTTGCTTAGACTTAATTCTAAGATTACTAATTTTACACTATTTGATAGAAATACAATTTCTTTTTTCTTTCCACCTTCAAAGGAATAAGGAAGATGAAGAAGAGCAAAATGACTAGTTTCCTGTATGTAGTTCTCTTCCCTTCATCTCAATGCTTCAGCCCCCCCCTTTTAAATAACCATTCCCATTATTCAAGGTGCTTATTATACAGTAATTAGAAGATTGCACAGGTTAGCAGTGAGAATTTCACATATAAATTTCACAATTTCATATCAGATGACATGCATCCAAATATCCTGTATCAAATTGCTTTGAAGATCTTAAACTAGTTCCTTCGCAGAGAAAGGTGTTCCATTCAAGAGTTTAAAAAACCCAACCAAACCAAACTCACAAATCTGGCTAACAGTCACTGCTCTTAGAGTTGAACCAGACTTGGGCTTAAATGCAGTATTTTTATATGAGAACAAGCAGATTATTATCCCACAAGAAGAGAATGTTACATTTCTAGCAGCACACTAAGACAACTCCATCATTTCTTTTAATATACCGGACCATAAAACCTACCATATATCAGACCAGCTGAAATAAAATTGATACCAATCTTGGAACATTAGTTGTAAATGCAAGAGAACTGCTATTAAAGCCTGCATCAACTGCTGCAGTATAAATCCATAACTGTTACAATCTCCTTAACTTCATATTTTTCTTCTCTCAAAGGTTTTCAAAGCAGACTAAAAGTTTCTAGTATAATGTCAAACTGATACAGTCATTACGCATGTCAAACAGACTAGAACAAATAAACACTAAACAAGATCAGATTAATTCCACCCTAATTCCAGGTGCATTTCTAATTATTTTTTTTAATGAAATGTTGACAATTTTAAGTCACCAGCAGGAACACCATTATAACTCATGCTTTATTCTGAATAGCTCAAAAACATATCTACCCCTTGTACACTCTTCTATCCAATGTCAGATAACAAAGCAAGGTCATGCAGATTACCTGTTGAAACTAGTCTTTCCTACAAGGACAGAACTTGAAGTATATACTTGGAATGGTACTCCAGCCTGAATGACCCTATGACTACAAACATTCAAAACCTCATCTTTTAAAAAGGATGTGAAGCTGCAAAGAGACCATAAACCCCAGTGTCGGGTTTTTTTTCTATCCAGCTGATGCCAGAAGCAGGTTTACTGCTACTTCCACAGGAAAACAGAAACCACTGGAATGGAAACACAGATGTTCTGTATCGGTACATTAGTATTTTCAGAAGCCCTTGTTGAGAAGAGCTCAAAAAATTAAAGCCAAAATTGCTGAACTGTGAGGTTTTACCTCAGATTGCAGGTGCTGGATCACAACTGTTAATGCTTCGAACTTCTGGTTGCTGCTTGTCAGGAATCTTTTCAGCTGCAGGATGATTCCACTTTGGGTCTCACATTTTGTTTTGTACTGTGTCAGCTCGCCTGCTTTTGTGCCAGGCGAATGCACATCTGAGGAGGCTTGAGTCTGTATGCATGAGCTCCTGGGACTCCGCTGCTTGCCCTTGTCAACTGAAAAACCAACAATACCTAATTAATACGCACTTCATGTTGAAGTCTCACCAACACTTAAAACACAAGTGCAAAAGAAACTAGTTATAAATTCTTATAAACACTTCCTGAAACACTAACTTGGAGAAAGGGTTATTTCAGTAGCACTGCAGAGTACACACTGTCATCTGCCAGGTTAATTCCTAGCACCATAATCTTGTATACAATGCACTGCAGTTCATTCTCACCTTCGTATATTCTGTGGATTACTTTTCAGCATACTCTTCACACTGTGCTCTGAATAAATATTGTCACAAAATGTAAGATCTCCATCATCATACCTAACCAGTAATTTAATATTCCTAATGCAAGAGTTGACCACTTCAGTTTGCAACATGCAGTATCTCCTGCACTCTAAAGTATTGGCGAAGAAAAAACAAAACATTTTCCCTATATTTGTTTGGTCTTTTTCTTGCTTTTAAAATTTTCATTATAAACACCCCCCTCTCTGCAGCTCACGTTTGAGCTCTATCAACTGGGAGTGCTGCAGCATTTCTCAGTGTCAGCAATTTCAGTCACAAGAACGAGACTTTTAAAGATGCTGTAAAATGCAATGTATTTCGAGTTTTCACTGCCTTTATTCACGGTCCAAGAATTACATCGCTGATTTAATATTCCTACTTATGTTGCAAGCTCAATCCCTTCACAGTACACAATCACCTCATGACAGAGCAAACCACATCACATAATCCAGCGCTTGACTTGTAAACATCACAGAGGTTACAGGTTTCTCTGCTGCCTTCAGACTGGGAAGGGAGTACAGTATTGCTGTGCAGATAAGGCCAATCTTCCCCATTTGATCACACAGGGATCGAGCGAACACTTTTGCAATAAAAGGCTGATGCAATACATAAATATCCCTTGGCAATTTAATGAAAACATCTAAGCAGATTACTTTGTACAGTTTCAGCTTAACAAGATTTCTTCAAGATAAAGTGAAAAAACCTGAGAGGTGAGATTTAGAGAAAAGAACCATAGGAATGCGTGGAAAAGAAGGGGGACAAACTAACCAACTAGAAGTAGCTGCTCATGAATCCTTTCTGAAGCCCAAGCGCTTGAAGGTTGTCATGTGGCTCTGGAATAGTCCCAGCAATGTAAGGTTCAACCACACAACTGCAGACAGTATTAACAACGAAAGCTTTGCTTCTCAGTTAGTGTTAGCCTGACTGACACATCAACCATCGCATCAGTACTGCACAGCCTTCAATTGTTTTCAAAGCATTTGAAATACTGTTCAAAATACTTACGCGCCTTTCTTACTGAACCAGGTATGAAGTGCCTCCTGATCCTATTAATTTTCCAAATACATCCTCTCTAGGCAAGATTTTGTCATCCCTCATACTTAGGGAACTGTCAGCTTTATCATGTCCAGATGCTCTTGTGTTCTTAGCAATTTCACTACACTTCTTCTCAGAGATGCTGACTGTTGTATTTTCAATTAGAAAAATACCATCTTGCAGTTTAAAGTAGAGCTGTTAACAGGTATATCAACATGATAACTCAAGTCAAAATACAAATCTGTAGGTGAAAAAGATCAAGTTTGGCTGCCAGTTCTAGTTAGCTATTTTTACCACCATTTTAACTAACGCGAGCACTTCTTTTCTCACAGCGCAGACATAATGCCCTTTGAGTAGACCTCTTTAAATGAATGACAGTTCACATTTGAGAGCAATCATGTCAGATTTCCAGCAATCTTGTGGAGAATACTGTGTTTAGGAAAATACTGGTTACCTTCTGAAGCTCCTTCAAAAATCACAAGAGACAATCAAGAAGAGAGGGGAAAAAAGCAGGGACTAGAGAATAAACATGTACAGTCAGTCCTTCCCTGCCCTCCTGGCTCGCATACTCCTACTCTCTTATTTATTCCACCTCCCTCCCTGAATACTCCACTTAGAATAAGTGGAGAACTAGAGCACTCTTCTTGATTTAAGGGTACTGGATAAATTCACTGATACAGATGCTAATGCCATCATTTAATTAACTGTATGAAATGGCTTTTACATCCATTTGTAGGACTCTTGACAGAGCTACATTAAACCTGAACAAACATTTGCAGACAATTTTTATTCTGGAAAAATATTACATCATACCTATCACACCTAATAAAGTTATTTAAATACAGTGATAAAACAGCTAACAGCAAATGACACAAGACTCCAGATAGCCACTGTTTCCAGCGTTCAGCCATCCTTTATCAGTCTGCCAGTTCCATAGCACTGCTTTTATCAAGGTGCCCAGACTACTCAGTCCTTTCCTAGAAGCTCATTCAAACATCCAACCAAGCCAGCCCTGGAAACTATACTAAAAAAAGCTGAACAAAAAACAGGCACTAGAGAAATTCACTGACATTCCTGTTGGCAGTTTATCATAGACATGTGCTACACACAGCCACTTCAAATGTTGAAAAGCATTTCTATGCTAGCATGAACGCTCTGTAGCATGAGCTGCCTCTACAGATTAGCACCAGTGACACTCCAATGCTTATGTCCTATGTACCTCTGGGCAATGACAGAGTGTTTCCAGATTTGTATAGAAGGCATGCTGTGATGCCAAAACAAAAGCCATGCTTTCATTAAAACAAAAGCATCATGAGTCTAATTACTGATACAACACATCAGCAATGAACTTTAAATTAAAGACAGTACCGGTTACTAGCCCAAGTCCTCCTCATGCTGGCCTTTTTACTTGCCACCTTTATACAGTCAGACTTGTAAAGCAGAACAACTCCCACCCTTAAGTTGGACTCCTCTCCAGGCTTGAAAACTCTGTATCAAATCTAGATGAAATGCTCAGTTTCTGAAGACTGAAATCAGATTTGCAAGTACCACATATAGCACAGTAACTGGAAAGAATCACTGAAACAAAGATCAGCAGTGATTTTGCAAAGCCTTTTGATCACTGAATCATTCACAGAAGATTTGATACCTTGCTGGCAAAAAGAATAACCCATGACCTTGGAAAAGGCCCAAAAATCCTCCCACTCCCTCTACAGTCACTCTGGACATGGCAGCAGCCAACTCTAGCTCTTTGAGGAGAAGACTAGACCCATCCCAAGCTTTTCCATAAGGCAAACTGTTTCCCATAAACAGCTTCTATAGTTAATAGGCATTCAGAAGCAAGAAATACACAACTGTCTGTACATTAGGGTGTGTTTCATTTAAGTTACACTTAAGTGCTGGGGTACTGCCCCGGTACTTGACATTGTACTTCATTATCTCAGGGCTTGCCTGGTACCACTGGTTTCCTAAGCCTCTCTATCTTTTGCACTGTTGCTGGATTACTAGACGAACCATCTATCAACCACTTTCTGGTTTGCAGAGCCAAATTGAAGCCTTCCTTTGTTACCATGTACTAGGAAGATCTGTACAGTAATGTCTACACTAGCTACAATTATTTTTTTTAAGCAAAAAAAAAACAAAACAAATCACCATTTCTTAAAAGCATTCCCAATAGTCTGAACAAACTACTTAACAAGTACAAGTAGGAACAACCTCATTTCTTTCCCCACACTTTTGCAGTCACCATTGCCTTACCCCTAAGCACCTTCTTTTCACATTCCTCATCCAAACTGTTAGCTTCCACAGGTTTTTCAAAACCCATGTGTGAGTTGTATAAGCATTTTTCAAAGAAAAATCCTTCCTCAACATTTTCTCTCGTAGGAAGATGCAGGCTGGTAAAAACTTTCTGCCTCTCCTCCATTTTCTGGAAAGCCTTGTCTACACATGTTAAATTGGTGCTCACTTCTTTGATCAGTAAGACCAGATCAGCCTGAGTATTTAATCGAGCTTCCATTTCTTCTCTTACTCTCTGGATTTCCTCAAGCACAGTTCTTATATCCAAGTGACTGGACTTCACCTCTGCTTGGAGATCTTCTTTCACCTGTTGCTGGCTCCTCTGCAGTGCTAACACTGTTCTGATTTCCTTCTGGGATGTCTCCACATCATGCTTTAGCTCCTTCTGTCCAGCCTGCATTGCCTCCTGGCTAGCTTTCAGCTCTGCCAGCAGAGCCGCAAGGCACTCCATCCTAATCCCACAGGAGTCACAGGTCTTCTTCCAGCGTCACAGTTTCCAAGTGGTCAGGGACATTGGTGAGGTGGTAGCAGATCTCCCAGACAGCAAGAGAGCTAGCATATAGTTCTTGTTATGGTATTCTATCTCAGTTTACAGCATGGTGCAGGTAAAAGTCTAGTACAAGGCGAGACAAAGGCATTAAGTAAAAGAGTTCAATAAGCACAGCTCTGAAGCAGAGCTCCTTCTCAGGCCTCAGCCAGAGCACTAATCAGTTTAATTGGCAGATTATGCCACACCTGAATTTTTTAAAATCTTTTGCTGACATCACTGTACATGAACATGTCACCCCAAAAGCCACTCCCAACAGTCATTTGATCTGTGCATCAATCAAAGTATGCCTGGGCATCAGTAGCCAGGTTTGTTGCAACACAGTCAAACAATCTGCGAGAACGCAGAAGCCTTTCCTTTCCAACACAAAGGCTCAAGAGAAGCCTGAACTGCCTTCAGGAGCTGAAAGACAAACAGTTCAACAGGGCTTAGTTATTTCAACTGTATATTCATCAGGGTTATTGTGCACCTGTCCTTCTGCTAATGTTTGCAGTGAGAGTTCAGGAGTACATGTGTAAGCACGCTGGACATTGCCTCACTCCCATTGAACGCCCTCCTCATTCCCCAGCTAGCAATGCTCTTTCAGCAGCCTCTGGAAGAACCCAGATCCTGAGGAAGCCCTCTAGTGCACAAACAATAAACAGTTACCAGAGCAATATGGGAAAACTGACTAATGAGGCGGTTTGTGGCAGGCTAAGGAGGATAAGCCTTTTAGCTACCAGGGCTGAGCGTTAACTTTTACAGAGAAAAGCTAAGGCTTCTTACATTTAAGCACAGAACTCATAAAAGGTGGAGGCTTCATGTAAAACCAGGTAGGTTAATGACATCAGGCTCTTAGCTGT